AGAGGTTCTCCTACCCCTAAATTCAATTTTCTACATCCGGCTTGTCTATTCAGCTGACATGCGCAGACGCAAAGAGAAATGATAAAACATATCTGGAAAAGGTCTAACTCAGCTGCAATATTTCTGACGCTGGTCCCGCGGGCCGTCCGATATTTGGGCTGCATATAGCTCTGGTGTATTCGACAGCAATATGACTGGGATGTAACCAATGATAATAAAATGGTTGTCAATGGTTCTCAAAAGGATTACAGGTACCCCTGTGTAAACCTTTTCTTTCCGCACCTCAAATTCTGCTGAAAATAATTTCTCGTGCGACCAATGATCGTGTTTTCAACTGCTGATCCAGTCATATACTAAAAACTTCTTTAGTTTTTCTAAACGTACAATAACTTGGTGGTATATCTAAGATTAAGACAAGCTTCAACAAAACATTTAGAACCACTGCTGGCGGTTTTCGTGTTCACATAAAATCCAAACTTGTGGAGATGAATAAAACTCTAGCCATCTAATACGGAGCGGTTGTATGAATTTCCGAACCAGATATTCATGCTGCAAGTGAAGATAACGTGCAAATGAGATAGGCGATTTGGTAATATATAGTAGGTGTAGCTAGAGCTCCAGTAATACTAATATTAGATCAAAGGTTTGATAATATAAATTAGGTGTAGTCAGAGCTCCAGTAATACTAATATTAGATCAAAGGTTTGATAATATATAGTAGGTGTAGCCAGAGCTCCAGTAATACTAATATTAGATCAAAGGTTTGATAATATATAGTAGGTGTAGCCAGAGCTCCAGTAATACTAATATTAGATCAAAGGTTTGATACTATATAGTAGGTGTTGTCAGAGCTCTAGTAATACTAATATTAGATCAAAGGTTTGATAATATATAGTAGATGTAGCCAGAGCTCCAGTAATACTAATATTAGATCAAAGGTTTGATAATATATAGTAGGTGTAGTCAGAGCTCCAGTAATACTAATATTAGATCAAAGGTTTGATAATATATAGTAGATGTAGTCAGAGCTACAGTAATAATAATATTAGATCAAAGATTTGATAATATAAAGTAGGTGTGGTCAGAGCTCCAGTAATTTGTAATTAGATCAAAGATTTGATAACATAGAGTAGGTGTGGTCAGAGCTCCAGTAATTTGTAATATTAATATTAGATGAAAGGTTTGATAATATAAAGTAGGTGTAGTCAGAGGTCCAGTAATATTAATATTAGATGAAAGGTTTGATAATATAAAGTAGGTGTAGTCAGAGGTCCAGTAATACTTATATTAGATCAAGGGTTTGGTAATATATAGTAGGTGTAGTCAGAGCTCTAGTAATGCCAATATTATTGTTGACTCTTGTGTGGTAAAACATGTTGGTGCCGAGTCAGGAAACAGAGAAAGATTTCATAAAAAGATTAAACGAATTTTATTTTTATTTAAATTAATTTGATGGGTAATCTCCTTGGCGGCACATCTCTTTACATTCTTGCATCTGGTTTTGGCTGCTTCCTTATAGCAACTGGCCCTTCCCCAACTCAACATGTTTAAATTAAAATTACTGAGTGTGTTTGTGTGTGGGGTGGGGTTTCTCTCCAGCAGCGAGCATCATGCGTGACAACTGAACTCAGGTAATACGGCTGAAATTTTTCGGAAGCGGCAGTTGTACTGAACAATATAGAGCCATGGAAATGGCGTAGGACTAACTGTAGGACTGTCTGTAAGCCTATTGTTTAAATATTTTATGGGTACTTTAGATTTATTTATGTTTATTGTGTCTGTCTTCCGCGTGCCATTGAGAACCGCTGACTCCTGCTTTAAGCACTATAATTGTGCATTGTCGACGTGTACTCTCCCAACGCTCACTTGAAGAACCACTGCTCTACCATGTCATTCCAACTCCAGGCCATGTCTTTTTCCTGTTTGGTTTTTCCAATTATGTTCAAATCACTTCCTTTCTATTCCTCTTTACTTTGTTTTAGTCTGGTTTTAGCGCCCTCTCCTATTTTTTTTTCTGTTTTAGGTAGGATATGTATATGTATATTATGTAAATTTAATTTATACTTATTTAAATGTGTTTTGTTTGTTTGTACTGATGAAGGAATGTGCCGAAACGTTTACTTGTGTATAATGTATAATTATTATTAAAGCGTAACTTATATTGTTCTATTGACACAATTTGTTCGTGTCTTTCTCATCTATTTTAAAGCTTTATTGCAGTCCAACGCTTTTTATAATTTGTTAATTAAACTCCAGCTACAAACGGCAAAATAACATTCAGCATTGGAAGGGAAGGCCAGAGTAATCCTCTTCCATCTATCGTAGGTAAATTTAGTCAAGATATAATCTTCTTCCATCCATCGTAGGTAAAATTGGTCAAGATGTAACCTTCTTCCATCTATCGTAGTTTACTTTGGTCAAGATATAATCTTCTTCCATCTATCGTAGGTAAATTTAGTCAAGATGTAATCCTCTTCCATCTATCGTAGGTAAATTTAGTCAAGATATAATCTTCTTCCATCCATCGTAGTTTACTTTGGTCAAGATATAATCTTCTTCCATCTATCGTAGGTAAATTTGGTCAAGATGTAATCCTCTTCCATCTATCGTAGATTAATTTGGTCAAGATACAATCTTCTTCCCTCTATCGTAGGGTAAATTGGTCAAGAGATAATCTTCTTCCATCTATCGTAGTTTACTTTGGTCAAGATATAATCTTCTTCCATCTAACGTAGGTAAATTTGGTCAAGATGTAATCCTCTTCCATCTATCGTAGATTAATTTGGTCAAGATGTAATCCTCTTCCATCTATCGTAGATTAATTTAGTCAAGATCTAATCCTCTTCCATCTATCGTAGTTTAATTTGGTCAAGATATAATCTTCTTCCATCTATCGTAGTTTAATTTGGTCAAGATATAATCTTCTTCCATCTATCGTAGGTAAATTGGATTCAGATGTAATCTTCTTCCATCTTTCGTAGGTTTATTGGGTCTAGATGTTTTTTCTCTTCCATCTATCATATGTTAATTTGGTCAAGATGTAATTTCCTTCCATCAAGCGTAGGTTTATTGGGCCAAGATGCCTACTTATTCCATTTCATATAAGCAGGAAACACTTTGACATCAATTTAAATTGATTTTAACAAGACCAGTTTAGCATTAAGACCATATATCACAACATGACAAGTTTAGCTTGACGCCCATGTATCACAACATGAAAAGTTTAGCCTTACGACTATGTATGACAACATGACAAGTTTAGCTCTACTCCCATGTTTCACAACATGACCAGTTATCTTTAGGCCCATGTATCACAACATGACCAGTTATCTTTAGGCCCATGTATCACAACATGACCAGTTATCTTTAGGCCCATGTATCACAACATGACCAGTTATCTCTAGGTCCATGTATCACAACATGACCAGTTATCTCTAGGCTCATGTATCACAACATGGCCAGTTATCTTTAGGTCCATGTATCATAACATGACCCGTTATCCCTAGGTCCATGTATCACAACATGACCAGTTATCTCTAGGCCCATTTATCACAACATGACCAGTTATCTTTAGGCCCATGTATGACAACATGACCAGTTATCTTTAGGCCCATGTATCACAACATGACCAGTTATCTTTAGGCCCATGTATCACAACATGACCAGTTATCTTTAGGCCAAATTTATCACAAAATGACCAGTTATCTTTAGGCCCATGTATCACAACATGACCAGTTATCTTTTTCCCCCATGTATCACGACATGACCAGTTATCTTTAGGCCCATGTATCACAAAATGACCAGTTATCTTTAAGCCCATGTATCACAACATGACCAGTTGTCTTTAGGCTCATGTATCACAACATGACCAGTAATCTCTAGGCCCATGTATCACAACATGACCAGTTATCTCTAGGCCCATGTATCACAACATGACCAGTTATCTCTAGGCCCATGTATCACAACATGACCAGTTATCTCTAGGCGCATGTATCACAACATGACCAGTTATCTCTAGGCCCATGTATCACAACATGACCAGTTATCTCTAGGCTCATGTATCACAACATGACCTGTTATCTCTAGGCCCATGTATCACAACATGACCAGTTATCTATAGGCCCGCGTATCACAACATGACCATGAACATTGCTATTTTATTATACGTATCTTTCAGTTCTTTATAATTGTCAATGTTACATTGTTTATGTTAATGTTAACTTATTTATGTCAATGTTCTATGCTTGCTGTCTTTAGTCTATTGTTTCTATAAATCTTCCTTTCTTTCTATTAATAGTCTATTGTTTCTGCCATAGTCTAATGTTCCAATTAATGGTCTATTTTTGCTGAACATTTTCGATTGTTTCAGGCCATAACAGATTTTAAGATTAAAAAAAAACTTCTTCGAATGTATAACTGGAACAAAATAGTGTATAGCGCCTGGATTTCCAATTTGTATCTAACGCTTTTGTCCCGAGATTATGTGGTTATTGTTAAGAATCTCATGCAGCGCAGTTATCAAAGATTTTAATTAGCGCGCCATTGAACTCACCACTACAACATTCTTTCTTTCATACCTAGAGAGTAATATGCATAGATCAGATTACATAAAGCTATAACCCCCCTCTTCCCCCCACCCCCTTTACTAAGTTGATTAAAATCTTTAACAATTGTATTATGTCAAGGGATACAACTCAATTTATTACTTGAATGTAAGATTCGATTGTCAGTCTTCGGTTAAACTTTCTAAAATGTATTTTTTTTTCCTTAAAAGGTTGACGACACATGTCATTCTAGCTAGAAAAGTTGGATGACACATGTCATTCTAGCTAGAAAAGTTGGATGACACATGTCATTCTAGCTAGACAAGTTGGATGACACATGTCACTCTAGCTAGAGAAGTTGGATGACACATGTCATTCTAGCTAGAAAAGTTGGATGGTAAATATCATTACGATTAAAAAACAAACTAGATCATCAACTCATAATACTACAATTTTTATTTTAAACTCAAACTTGATCGGGTGCCAGAAACCGTAGGTCAGGCCCTGGACAGATGGTCACATGACATGTGTCATCAGCGGTCAGGCCCTGGACAGATGGTTACATGACACCCGTCATCAGCGGTCAAGCCCTGGACAGATGGTTACATGACACCCGTCATCAGCGGTCAGGCCTCGGACAGATGCTTACATGACACCCGTCATCAGCGGTCAGGCCTCGGACAGATGCTTACATGACACCCTTCATCAGCGGTCAGGCCTCGGACAGATGCTTACATGACACCCGACCTCAGCGGCCGCACACAAACCCCATCATGGTGTGGAATATGCTGTCGTTTGTGTCCGGGTGGAAGTCCAAGTTGTCCACAGCAACGGTCATATCCCATGCGTTCATGAACAGGACTTTATCCAGCAGGTCGTGGAAGATTTCCTTCTGTAGATTCATGATGATGGGGCCCAACATGTCGCCCGCCTCGAAATGGTTGGGCCATCCAATCCTCGCAGTGTGAGGACCCTGAGTAAAATAAGAGATACGTTTAAATTCAAAACAATCGTAATGCCCCATCATTCAGTTAGTAATGCCCCATCATTCAGTTAGTTATGCCCCATCATTCAGTTAGTAATGCCCCATCATTCAGTTAGTAATACCCCATCATTCAGTTAGTAATGCCCCATCATTCAGTTAGTAATGCCCCATCATTCAGTTAGAAATGCCCCATCATTAAGTTAATAGTACCCCATCATTCAGTTAGTAATGCCCCATCATTCAGTTGGTAATGCCCCATCATTCAGTTAGCATTGCCCCATCATTCAGTTAGTAATGCCCCATCATTAAGTTAATAGTAACCCATCATTCAGTTAGTAATGCCCCATCATTCAGTTGGTAATGCCCCATCATCCAGTTAGCTTTGCCCCATCATTGAGTTAGTAATGCACCATCATTCAGCTCCAAGGCCCTATATTTCAGCCGGTACAGCTCCATCATTCAGCTCGTTATGCCCCATCATTCAGCTTGCAAAGCCCCATCATTCAGCTGGCAAAGCCCCATCATTCAGCTGGCAAAGCCCAATCATTCAGCTCGTAATGCCCCATCATTCAGCTGGCAAAGCCCCATCATTCAGCTGGCAAAGCCCCATCATTCAGCTGGCAAAGCCCCATCATTCAGCTCGTAATGCCCCATCATTTAGCTAGCAAAGCCCCATCAGTCAGCTGGCAAAGCCCCATACTTCAGTCGAAAGTTGCTGTAGTCCCTATGTTAACATATATTCTCTGAACTTCCTTTTGTTTATCTAATGGCTCATACCTGCAGTACCACAGTGACGTCAGGATTTCGTTTGAGCAGACGTGAGATGGCGTCTTTGATGGATCTGAACATGACGTCAATAGAGCTGATGTGGGAGGTGGTCACGTGAAAGAAATGGTTCAAAATAATGAGGTACCTCCCTTTGGACGGAAGCTTGTCGATATCAATATTGGTGGGCGTGAGACTTTGGGCCTCGGCTAGAGCATGCTGGGTGAGTGAGACAGGAAGTGAGATTTAGAACATGCTGAGTGAGACAGACAAGTCAGAACTGAAACATGCTGAGTGAGACAGACAAGTCAGAACTGAAACATGCTGAGTGAGACAGACAAGTCAGAACTGAAACATGCTGAGTGAGACAGACAAGTCAGAACTGAAACATGCTGAGTGAGACAGACAAGTCAGAACTGAAACATGCTGAGTGAGACAGACAAGTCAGAACTGAAACATGCTGAGTGAGACAGACAAGTCAGAACTGAAACATGCTGAGTGAGACAGACAAGTCAGAACTGAAACATGCTGAGTGAGACAGACAAGTCAGAACTGAAACATGCTGAGTGAGACAGACAAGTCAGAACTGAAACATGCTGAGTGAGACAGACAAGTCAGAACTGAAACATGCTGAGTGAGACAGACAAGTCAGAACTGAAACATGCTGAGTGAGACAGACAAGTCAGAACTGAAACATGCTGAGTGAGACAGACAAGTCAGAACTGAAACATGCTGAGTGAGACNAAAAAAACAAAAAAACAGAAAACGAGTGGGGAAGAGAGAGAGAGAGAGAGAGAGAGAGAGAGAGAGAGAGAGAGAGAGAGAGAGAGAGAGAGAGACTGCAATCAGGTTAGCTAAAAGGAAAATAAGCTGAACACAGTATGGGAAAAAAAGAACAAACAAGTCGGCGAGAAGCCTTCATCAGCGAACAAACAACAGTAAAATCAGAATTAAACAACAATAACAATTAGCTGAAATTAGTATCCGAGAGTGCAGTTTGAAGAATGTGACAGAACATAAGTAGGTGAGAGATTAAAATACGGGCAAAAAGGTGGCAGGAGAGAGGAAAGACCACTGCGATTGGTGGTGACGAGGAAGGGGTGGGGGCGAGGCTCAACAGGTGAATGAGAAGATGACATTCATGTCATGTGCGGTCAAGGTTCCATAAGTCTGGATCGGCTTGTTTTCCAAATTCACCCGACTTGATGTGTTTGTACAGGCCACGATCGCACTTACTGTAAAATTCGCAGACTCCTAGTGGTCGCTTCTACTGAAGTGTTTACAGACGGGACACTGCTTGTCTTGCGTAATATTACGGAGTTCTTCAATACATCTGTAAGAGAGTCAGCGTCCTGTCTCCCCTATGAACGACATCTGGCAGCAATGGCACCAGATAAGAGTTAGATCGTGCTGAGTGAGACAGACCGTCAGAATTAGAACACCTTGTTTCTACTAGATTTGTTAATCCATCACGTTCTTTCACGCATTGTAATACGTCATCCTAACACCGAATCAACTCACGTCATTTATCACCATAAATTAACTTTAATATCTATTTATATAAACTGCCTGTAATTTCTATAATTTCCATCTTACTAAATACTGAATGAGACATACAGGATAGAATAAGAACATGCTGATTGAGATAGACAGGTTAGAATTATAACATGCTGATTTGGAGATTCAAGATAGAATTAGAACATGCTGAATTAGATAGACAGGTAAGAATTAAAACATGCAGAATGAGACAGACAGGTTAGAATTAGAACATAGAAATAAATCATCGAACTATTTCTTAAAAATTATTCTAAGTTCTACATTCACACTCTATCAGCTCAGAGTTTGCTGAGATGTGACCATTTACCGAATCTAAGAAAACAATGGCTTGACTGACTATTGGACCATAATGATAATGGACCATAACGACAAGAACGCATTTTGTCAAATCTTAAATTCAATGCCTACCACATGACCTGTATGGCCCAGATGGAAATACTAAGGCATGCCATTCACCAATGGGCTAGTGTGGTTTTTCTAAGGTACTTACGCCATTCACCAATGGGCTAGTGTGGTTTTTCTAAGGTACTTACGCCATTCACCAATGGGCTAGTGTTGTTTTAGTAACGTACTTACGCCATTTACCAATGGGCTAGTGTTGTTTTTCTAAGGCACGTACGCCATTCATCAATGGGCTAGTGTGGTTTTTCTAAGGTACTTACGCCATTCTCCAATGGGGTAGTGTTGTTTTTCTAAGGCGCTTACGCCATTCATCAATGGGCTAGTGTGGTTTTTCTAAGATACTTACGCCATTCACCAATGGGCTAGTGTTGTTTTTCTAAGGTACTTACGCCATTCACCAATGGGCTAGTGTTGTTTTTCTAAGGTACTTACGCCATTCACCAATGGGCTAGTGTTGTTTTAGTAACGTACTTACGCCATTCACCAATGGGCTAGTGTTGTTTTTCCTGAGCTACTTACGCCATTCATAAACGGGTTTGTGTGTGGCTCCCATCTGACGGTGAACTGGGTTTTCTTATTAATACACAGGAGCGGCTTGTGCCATTTCCGGGTCAGCTCCTTCTTGATGACGTCACACTTGGACAACTTAAGTAAATTATGGTAGTGCGCTCGGCCGTTAGAGTCACCATAAATGATAACCTGCAATGGCACATGTAGATGAAAGGCAATAGTTAAGGATTGGGGTGGGGTGGGGGGGGGATTGCTATGAAATTAATGTATGAAAGAAAGTTTAGAATCGAAACTTGCGTGCAACATATACAAACGAGCTAATGTTATAATAAGTCTCAACGGATGGTAAATGAGACCATTTTTGATCATTGATTCTTCATTGTATTACGTTTCATTATTCTTTTTAATACTTCACATTCTTCATTGTAATACTTCACATTCTTCATTGTAATACTTCACATTCTTCATTGTAATACTTCACATTCTTCATTGTAATACTTCACATTCTTCATTGTAATACTTCACATTCTTCATTGTAATACTTCACATTCTTCTTTGTAATACTTCACATTCTTCATTGTAATACTTCACATTCTTCATTGTAATGCTTCACATTCTTCATTGTAATACTTCATATTCTTCATTGTAATACTTCACATTCTTCATTGTAATACTTCACATTCTTCATTGTAATACTTCACATTCTTCATTGTAATATTTCACATTCTTCATTGTAATACTTCACATTCTTCATTGTAATACTTCACATTCTTCATTGTAATACTTCACATTCTTCATTGTAATACTTCACATTCTTCATTGTAATACTTCACATTCTTCATTGTTATACTTCTCATTATTCACTGTGGTACTTTTCATATAGTGAAATGGGGGTTTTAAATTCACTTGTTTATAGTGATTTCAATATCAATTTCAAATAGAAATATATCAATTTCTTTGAAAGAAGGCACCAACATAATGGCTTTGCCACTTGCACAGCTTTTGCTAGCCACAGCTTGTCCATAGCGTAGTATTGTTATAGCACATTAATATACAAATGTCAAATTTTGGAAATTTTCTGAAGTTTCATTGAGGATTCACACAATGAAATACTTAGCCACACAACCACAGCTATGACATTCTAAGCTACACAACCATGGCTATGACGAACTCAGCTACACAACCACGGCTGTGACGAACTCAGCCACACAACCACAGCTATGACAAACTCAGTTACACAACCACAGCTATGACATGCCTCTATGTTTCTCAAACAGCTATCCGTGTCGACCGTGTGCATGGTGCAGTAACTGGGGTGCCACACGTTCTTGTAAAAGAATCCCGTTGGCTCCAACCATTTCCATGTCTCCGCCAATGGCACTTTGTGACACGACGCTGATGGCCGTGAGAAGGGCTTGCCAGTAACATCTGGATACAGAGACAAAGGAGCACACAAATATCTTGTGAAAGGTTGCATGTTATTGTGTATCAAGATCGTAATTTAAGTAAAACATTATAACAAAGATACGGGCCTGATTATATAAGACTAAATGCCATGCTCAAAGATTAATTTGTATAGCAGTCACAATTGCTTCTACTCCATTCATTCTCTTGGTCATTTTCTAAGAATGTCATCCCAATCCTTGTGGTTAAAAAAATTTACAAAGTCCCAAGTTGGTTATGCGTAAATAGTTATGTGAAGGGGAGAGAAAACCTATGAAATTTTTCTGAAATGTGTTCATGTTATTAAAAGGTTCAGTTCTTTCCCTTGAATTAGAAAAAAAATATAGCTCATTACTTTTTTTAGTATATATAATTTTTATTTTTAATTTAATATTAATTTTGAAAATCCAGCGTTATGAAAAATGTTTCTATAAATAGATGCTTGCAAATAGTTGTGTCAACGTCACAAAAATGTTTCTATAGACTCATCAATAGATGCCTGCAAATAGTTGTGTCAACGTCACAAAAATGTTTCTATAGACTCATCAATAGATGCTTGCAAATAGTTGTGTCAACGTCACAAAAATGTTTCTATAGACTCATCAATAGATGCTTGCAAATAGTTGTGTCAACGTCACAAAAATGTTTCTATAGACTCATCAATAGATGCTTGCAAATAGTTGTGTCAACGTCACAAAAATGTTTCTATAGACTCATCAATAGATGCTTGCAAATAGTTGTGTAAACGTCACAAAAATATTTCTATAGACTCATCAATAGATGCCTGCAAATAGTTGTGTCAACGTCACATGCGATATGAAAATGTTTCTATAGACTCATCAATAGATGCTTGCAAATAGTTGTGTCAACGTCACAAAAATGTTTCTATAGACTCATCAATAGATGCTTGCAAATAGTTGTGTAAACGTAACAAAAATGTTTCTATAGACTCATCAATAGATGCTTGCAAATAGTTGTGTAAACGTCACAAAAATGTTTCTATAGACTCATCAATAGATGCTTGCAAATAGTTGTCTAAACGCCACAAAGGGCAGCAAGTGCGATAGTGATGCCAGATTGGTTCATCAATTGAATTATTTCAAGCTGAAAACGTTTTAAAACGCTAACTTTGCTTATAAAAACATACTTTCTATGGTGTAATTCCTTGGTTATATTTCTTTTGATTATAAAATTAATGAGAAAGACACTAGGCTATGGCCAGTGGCGTAGTTAATGAGAAAGACACTAGGCTATGGTCAGTGGCGTAGTTAATGAGAAAGACATTAGGCTATGGTCAGTGGCGTAGTTAATGAGAAAGACACTAGGCTATGGTCAGTGGCGTAGTTAATGAGAAAGACACTAGGCTATTGCCAGGGGCGTAGTTAATGAGAAAGACTCTAGGCTATGGTCAGTGGCGTAGTTAATGAGAAAGACACTAGGCTATGGTCAATGGCGTAGTTAATGCGAAAGACACTAGGCTATGGTCAGTGGCGTAGTTAATGAGAAAGACACTATGCTATGGTCAGTGGCGTAGTTAATGAGAAAGACACTAGGCTATTGCCAGGGGCGTAGTTAATGAGAAAGACACTAGGCTATGGTCTGTGGCGTAGTTAATGAGAAAGACACTAGGCTATTGCCAGGGGCGTAGTTAATGAGAAAGACTCTAGGCTATGGTCAGTGGCGTAGTTAATGAGAAAGACACTAGGCTATGGTCAATGGCGTAGTTAATGCGAAAGACACTAGGCTATGGTCAGTGACGTAGTTAATGAGAAAGACACTAGGCTATGGTCAGTGGCGAAGTTAATGAGAAAGACACTAGGCTATGTTCGGTGGCGTTGTTAATGAGAAAGACACGAGGCTTTGGTCAGTGGCGTAGTTAATGAGAAAGACACTAGGCATTGGCCAGTGGGGTAGTTAATGAGAAATACACTAGGCTGTGTTCAGTGGCGTAGTTAATGAGAAAGACACTAGGCTATTGTCAGTGGCGTAGTTAATGAGAAAGACACTAGGCTATGGTCAGTGGCGTAGTTAATGAGAAAGACACTAGGCTATGGTCAGTGGCGTAGTTAATGAGAAAGACACTAGGCAATGGCCAGGGGCGTAGTTGAGGGTTCGGACCGCACCGGGTAACACAATATCAGGGTATGACACCAAATTTTTAACAAATTCATATTTATAGAGCACACACTGCCTGTTCTAACCGAATTTTATTAAAGGATAACCGAAGTGGTGAAAACTGAGCCCAGCATTAAAACATCATGCGGCGTCGAAAGAGTGCCCATGTTGCCTTTGAAAAATGGAAAACATTGGGAGCAGGACTTGGGCTACACAAAACATTTGATGCCAAAAGCATTGCTGTGATGGACGGGGTGACGAAAAATTGAATAAATATCCTGCAAAAGTTGATGGATGTCACATTGTTTCTTGTAAAGCAGAATCTTGCATTTCTTGGCCACAACAAATATGAATCTTGATTGAATAGAGGAAATCATCTTGAAATGCTGGAGATCTTATCTAAATATGACCCAGTTCTGGATTTGTTCCCTTAAAGGGTAAAAGACTGATGACGTCAGGTCTGAAATTCTTACAAATCTAAAAAATTATGATCTAAGAATTATGTGTATGAATCATAATCACATCTGTTCTCATTTGTCACATCTGTTCTCTTTAGTGCGTTATTAATATTGCTAAATTACATTTTAATGAATTGATCTGAATGAATTTAAACAATATCGAAATAAACACGCAAATGACTTCATGGCGCGAATGAACTATTTTAGCCAAATCTTTAAGTTTCTTTAATTAATTAACAGCACGTAACGAAACTGATAATGTATTTTCCCTTCTTAAAGTAAAATTAATAAATATAATTGATTTATTTTCAAATTTTAAATAAAAACACCAAATTTTAGCTTTGTATTTTTAACATTTGATAAGTTTTTACTTATTTTTCACTCCAAAAATACACTTTTTAAAAATTTATTAAGTAATAAAAACCTAAAATTTAAATACACTATTAATAAGAAAATGCCGTTTAAGTCAATCGGTGCAGCAAAACTACATAGTCAAATAGCATTCACCGAAGCGTTTATCTTTCATCCAAATAAGAACAAACCATAGGAAGTTGCAATTGTTTCATTTTGATATCTATAACTAAAGAGCCAATAATGTGACAGGTTTCATATTTGGTATAGTCTTTAATGTTAAAAGAAATAACTATAATATTTCAATATATTGAATTAGGCGTAGAATTATTGTGTTGTTTCTTTTTCTAGAAAACATCAAACAATGTGTGTTAAAGTTGATCTGGAACTTAAGAATTTTAATTAAGTTCGGGGACGTGCAAAAAATGAGTTTTTGCACACGTAGGGAGTACAATCCCGAGGATGATTTTATTAATTTTTATTATAATCTAAGGAGGGATTCGATACTATTATTTTGTCCCAGGCAGCATGTCAAGGGTATGAGAATCACTGTTGTTATGTGTAGATTATTGTTTCAAGGTTTGATAAGGAAAAGATGTTTAGTTAAAGATTTTATGTGAAGCTGTATCGTTTGTGTGAAAGTATTGTGACGTAATTGTGTAGTGGGGAAGTGACGCGTTAGTTTTTCGTTCTTGTTAGAGAAGAGAGATGGCGGATGTGCTACATTGACTGTTGTGAATTGAATATTGCTAAGTGTTGTGCTAAAAAGATTTGATTGTTGCTCAGAAATTAAGTATCAACCATACTTTGGGAATTGTGGTTAAATAAATTTTTGTTTGCAAACCGGTTGATGGTTGTTGCATTGGTGACTGTTGCTGTATGATGTACTGCCGAACGGAATGAAGTGAAAGACTTGGCCATACATGAGACTCTCATCTCGACACAGCACAAGATACGTTTCACAATAAAGAAATTTGAAAAATAATTAATTAACCTTCTTAGGTTTATGCATAATGGGGGTAGGAAATAGGGTGTGTACATTTTTACGTGGCTGACATGATCTTTAAATCTAATGATATTACAGTTGTGAAAAAGAGATGTTACATTCTCTTTTTATAAATAAACATATGTTTACCAATTTAAAATATCAATGGCGTTTACAAAACTTGGGGACATTTACATAAGTATACCCATGAAATTCAAACTCCAATCATTTTACACAAGTGAAAATATTTTTTTTTTGGAAAATAGAGATAGGTTAAGATATTCTTTCAAAAAAAGAAAATATATACTAATGTGGGTGTATATTTTGATGAGGCTATTAACATTTCTTTTAAAAAAGACACCCAAGGCTGACGTGAACAACGGTTAAGAGATTCTTCTTTAAATAAAAGAATTATTAGTTTTACGATTTTCCGATAATAAAGAAGAAAAAATTCAAAGGAAAAGTTTGGTTCAATTTTTAATGAAGATATCAGTATCAGACCCCCTTCCCCCCACCCCTTTTTTAGATGATGAGAAAACAAAACCTTTCATCAAGTAAGCACAAAGATTAAATCAAAATCTTTTGAATACGGAAGTTGTCACGGTGGACCCTCCATGACCCTCCATGGCCCTCCATGGCCCTCCATGGCCCTCCATGGCCCTCCATGACCCTCCATGACCCTCCATGACCCTCCATGACCCTCCATGACCCTCCATGACCCTCCATGACCCTCCATGACCCTCCATGACCCTCCATGACCCTCCATGACCTGTGTACCATGAAACACACACCCCGGCCATCCCGCTAATCCAAAATCAGCCCAAAATTTGTTGACAAAACCAGTAATATAAGATATGACTCACCTGTTGCGACATCTATCTCCATACCTGGAGGAATAGACCGTAGAATTCGACTCTCTCCGCTGTAACAAGAATGTATGTATTAGAACAATGCTGTCCAACCATTTTGACTACGTGGTCCAAAACAAAGAGAATGTATGTATTAGAAGAGTGCTCTCCAACCATTTTGACAAAGTGTCCCAAAAGAAAGTCCCTTTAACCAAAGTTCCACAAATGGCATCTCTAAAGAATTTGCGGAGTATGCATGACATGACCAGGGATGAAACGGGCCAGCAGAAAAACTTCTTGTAAGGTAAGCTGAAAATGTTCAGTATTATTATTTTAGACCTCCTGTGTCGCTTCTATCATACCTTAAAATGTGTATATTAAATCTATACTTGTATGATGCATTACAGGGGCCGCTTGGACACGTCAGTCCACCACAATTTGATGTCATGTATGATCATTGTTACGCATTGGCTTCTAATATGAGAAATTAATCTCCTATTTTAATTTTAATTGGCTCGTTGTAAACAGTGCCTAACAAAGGACGATACCATTGAGTCAACAATATTAAAGATACGACACCCAAAACAAATGCTAGTTACAATTAATTAAGATTTATTAAGTCTTAAGATAATTACAAAAGAAAAGAAAATATAATGACAATCTTGAACTTACAGTATGGTAGATATTGTACCGGTACACAGTTAACACAGTTAGTATGATGTGCCAATAAATAATGATTAAATGCGAAATAAACACATATATAAGAACACAAAAAACAATACACGTCTCGTGAAGTTAATAAAACCTATCGTAATATCCGTCTGAATCTCCTACAATCTGTCAATCCCTTATATAGTTTGGTCTACGGACGCGTAAGCCCTGCCTTCCAGAAGCTACTCAGCATTTGTTTACATTTCTAGAACAATCGCAAACATTCTACAAAATATTAGGAGGCAGTCTTACAAGGTTTAATTAGAAAGGCGGTAGTCAACAAGATACATCAAACGAACAGGCCACGCCCACAACAAACGCTAACGTCTGCTAGGGATCTAATTTGGGTCAAGCAAAATTCAAGCACGGGGAAATCGTGTAAAACGTTATACTTATACATAGCAATCATACTGTATTAAAATATGGATTATGTAGTTGTGTATGAGTATGTTATCACATGGATGCTTGTATTACAATATGGATTAGGTGGTTGTATATGAATAAATGTTATCACATGAATGTTAGTATTACAATATAGATTATGTGGTTGTGTATGAGTATGTTATCACAGGGATACTTTTATTACCTTATGGATTATGTTGACGTGTATATGTTTGTATATTATTGTTCGAAGTATAACAATGAACATGGGAACGTTTTCAACTGTTGGCAGAGTTGGTATCATGTTATCTTGTCTTATTAGCATCCCAAAATCTTATTTTCAAGTTATGTTCTCCCAACCCATTACTACACGTGCAGCATGTTTGATGAAAGAGTCTTATTTACAACTAAGTCTCTCAGACTAATTTAAAAAAATAATGTGTAGTCTTCTAATAAACACCTTGCTTTTAAAAAGTACAATGCTGTCAATGAAAAACTGAGATAAAGACCAGTGAAGGTGACCAAGAGATCTTCATGTCATGGGCTGAGCTTACCCCGAAGAGCGCCGAAATAATTCCTTCTCTGCCCACGTGACAGGCATGTTACTTGAGGGGCCCACAACTCTTGACCCAACGAAGTCCTCCAGACAGTTGAGGTCATGCTTCACGGGTCTCCCGCAGAACCAGGGCGAGCCGTTCACCTCCGTCATGTTGCATAGTTCAGATCGGTTGAAGCCCGGGACAAGTTCTGTGTGGTAACACGGGGTACATTCACTGGCCTGGAAATGGAGCATTTAAGAAATCGGCCATAAAGTCTACTCCTAGCGTCACTTAATGTTCACTCAAACTATCATAGACATCAACAGCACTCCCAGGGCAACCTTTTTTTTTGTTCAGTCTGGGCTATACATGCTTGCGTAGACTATGGTAAAGTCTAAAACAGTTACCCATACATTGGATGTTTTTTGTTTAAAGCTCCTGTTGCTGGAAAGGGATCTGCCAGCTTAAAACTATTGTAAAAACTGCCCCCTTTCTTTCTCTTATATCATTTCGTATATAGCCATTTTGGTATTTTGCTGTAGTCCAAGACATCCCCGCACCTTTGATGCTGGGTTGAGGATGATTTCCCTGAGGCCAGAATTCTAAGAAATCCGCCCAGTACCCATCGGGAAGAACAGACAGTTGGCCTGCATCAATAGGACCGCGTGCTGATAGGACTTTACAGATACATCGCTGGGAAGTCCTCACAACGTACAAGGGAAGAGTTATTCCACAACGTACAAGGGAAGAGCTATTCCACAACGTACAAGGGAAGAGCTATTCCACAACGTACAAGGGAAGAGCTATTCCATAACGTACAAGGGAAGAGCTATTCCACAACGTGCAAGGGGAGAGCTATTCCACAACGTACAAAGGAAGAGTTATTCCACAGCGTACTGCTGCGATGTCCCACTTTCGCTCCCGAGGAGCCAATATGGAGAGAACTGGAGAGACCACTTCCAACATTGAAGTCACCTTACATATTGATTGATCAAGCCCAATCATCAAGACCATTCTAGATTGATATGATAAGTATTGACGGTGTGTTCGCATTAAAATTTGTTATAAAGCAATCGACTATTATGATGAATGTTAGGCATCACGGGATGTCCATACTCCATATAACCTGGAAATAAATTGTATGCAGAGGTTATCTCACATCCTGGACCGTTATAAATTCTATGTAAATCCATGTAAATAAATAAGTTCATTTAATTAGATGAATTGCTATTATAGATTCCTTTGATATATGGGTATAAGTGAACACGTTCATAATTATGTCACTTTGTGATTGAATTTGATCAAACATAAAACCCCTAGTCACGAGCACGGGAAAACTCATACGTAAGTTATCCACATACACCTACCAATAAGAGTCATTTCACCATACCCAGTGCTACATAAATAACGCCTTAACATTACCTTAAAAATTACCAGACTATCTATTACCCTATCTATACTATACATAGACATAAAACAGATGCACGGACTAGGCATATTTTTCCCCATGGCCACAGGCCGAAATTTCTGCTGGATCGAGATGGTGATGATGATGATGATGAGGTAGTTAATGGCACACTTATGTGTCATTTAGATCGCGAAATCTAGCGTGACCTCTCCAGCACATCTTGGAATGATCGTTGCACAGCGTTGTCAGTGTGATTGTCTCCCCATTTACAAGGCAGCAAATGAAGATCCTCCTCTCCCCGTGTGCACCCTTCATATCTCTTGTCTTCAATGACTCCTGTCAATATATCTCTCTCGTCTGTCTATTTCTCTTTGTCTGGCAGTATCTCCTATCTGTCAATTTCTCCTGTCTGGCAATAGCTCCTTTCATTCAATTTCTTCTGTCTGGCAATAGCTCCTGTCATTCAATTTCTCCTTTCTGGCAATATCCCCTGTCTGGCAATATCTCCTGTCTGTCAATTTCTCCTGTCTGGCAATATCTCCTGTCTGGTAATATCTTCTGTCTGGCAATATCTCCTGTCTGGCAATTTCTCCTGTCTGGCAATATCTCCTGTCTGTCAATTTATCCTGTATGTCAATATCTCCTGTCTGTCAATTTCTCCTGTCTGGCAATAGCTCCTGTCTGGCAATATCTCCTGTCTGGCAATATCTCCTGTCTGTCAATTTCTCCTGTCTGGCAATAGCTCCTGTCTGTCAATTTCTCCTGTCTGGCAATAGCTCCTGTCAGTCAATTTCTTCTGTCTTGCAATAGCTCCTGTCTGTCAATTTCTTCTCTCTTGCAATAGCTCCTGTCTGTCAATTTCTTCTGTCTTGCAATAGCTCCTGCCTGTCAATTTCTTCTGTCTGGCAATTTGTTGTTTTTTGCTTTGTTAGTTTTTTTTTTTTTTTTTTTTTTGGTTAAATCATAATTTTGTGTCCGTTATATATCTGAGGCCCTTGCAGGCTGCAGGGTTTGAAGGACCCAAACCACTCTCCGCCTAAGATGACTGAATCTGAGTTGACTTATAGAGATGTGAGGTCTTAACCTTGAATTAGTGAACAGTGAGTTGACTTTTAAGCTGTCTTTAAAAAAGAAATGTCAGGTCTTACCTTAGAATTGTTGAACACTGCAGCGATGGGACGAAATGTTTTCATGGCAAGCTGTAGATATATCAAAGCTCGGAGGTATTCTCTAGCGTAGACCAGAACAGCGCTGACCCTGAAATACATCACCAGAAATGTCCTTGGTAGTAACATGGAAATAGTTATCTTGGAGATGCTTTTGTTCGTTTTTAAATCTAACCAATATTTTTCTTACATTAGACTGAAATGAAAATATTGATTTAAGTTTGTTGAGAAACAAAGAAATTATTGATTTCTTTTTTTTAAATCAAATAAAATATGCCAAAATGATCAGGCCAAAAATTGTCTAAAACTATATTAAATGTGTGTTTCAAGCACTGGTTGGTCTGTAAATGGGATCAGATACAGTGGTAAATATTTGTTTAACTGAGTTCACTGGAAAGGGAATTTGGGTTTGTTTAGTATTCGTGGGCAAAAAGTCGTAGCTAATATCCATGGGTGACTTCATTGTGGGAAACGAACCCAGGGGAGGGGGAAGGGTATGTGAGCGGAACAAGAGTCACAGAACCTGTCACCAAGAAATCTAATGTTTCCTACAGTCCCAATCTGTCACCAGGTACAATAATAATAAACTTAATACACGACATTAAAGCCTTTGTATTAAACTTAACATAGGACTATACAAATATGGCTCTAAACTTATTGGGATATTAATTTTGAGCCTGTTTAAGAAGTAACATTGCCCAACAGAGAGATTGAGGCTACTATTTTCATATATCAACGTACTTTAGCTTCCCCGTGAAGAGAAGTGAGGCCACAGCCAAGTACGTCCCGTCGCCCATGTCCTTGACGCTGGCTGGCAAAGAGTGTCCACTTTGAGTGACGTCAGTAAACCACACCCTGATCTGATCCCCGCCTTTGTGCCTGGGTCTGCCATGTCCATCAAACACCGTGATCTGGAGCACGATTCGGTCGTCGAGCCGGAACTGGGAACTGTTTGAAATACAACAACAGACTCACAGTACTGACTTATCCGTCAACGTCATGCGGTACCCGTCAATGCATTTATATTCATGTTCACGCGCCTGACTGAATAAATTTATTGTTCACTTCTTCCGCTCAATTTTCTTTCTGTGACTTTTTCTTCCATTCACTGATACTTAGTCTATAACAGGGGTCGGGAACCTATGGCTCGCGAGCCAGATGTAGCTCTATTGATGGCTGCATCTGGCTCGCAGACAAATGTTCGATTATAAAAAAAAAAAGTCGCATTAATGGTAAGAAATACTCATTATGATGGGCAACAGCATGACAATGTTATTAAAAAGAATTCAGAGACATAATTATTGCATTTTTAGTGTTGAAATTACACAAAATGCACACATGTACTTGAATTTTTAGTTTTAAACATAATGTATGGCTCTCACAGAATTACTTTTGCAAAATGTGTGGTGTCCATGGCTCTCTTAGACAAAAAGGTTCCCGACCCCTGGTCTATAATAAACATTTAATATTTTTTTCATTGTGGCGTTAAGTTACCAGTTGACTTGTGGCGGCAGTAGCGAGAACTCCGGGAACCGTCCGCTCGTAACTTTAGAAGGGTAAGATTAGACAAGGTTTAGGGTGGGGAAAATGGTAGGGGGTTCAGGGGAGGCACCCCCGTGGTGGAGATGGACTTTACTGGAACATTTTATCCATATCAGATGGACAATACTAGAACATTTTATCCATATCAGATGGACAATACTGGAAAATTTTATCCATATCAGATGGACAATACTGGAAAATTGTATCCATATCAGATGGACAATACTGGAACATTTTATCCATATCAGATGGACTATACTGGAACATTTTATCCATTTCAGATGGACAATACTGGAACATTTTATCCATATCAGATGGACAATACTGGAACATTTTATCCATATCAGATGGACAATACTGGAACATTTTATCCATATCAGATGGACAATACTAGAACATTTTATCCATATCAGATTGACAATACTGGAACATTTTATCCATATCAGATGGACAATACTGGAACATTTTACCCATACAAAAAGGAAAACAGCATCAACAAAACATTGCCTAAACCATAAATGGAAAAAATAATTTCACTCTAGTTAGTCCAGCGAAGGCAAGAAAAATATGTTTTTAGTGTAGAAGTTACTATTAGTGTAATATCTATACTTTTGCTTAATAATATTCCAACTTTGATTATTATTTTTTAAAAATGGTATTGATGTGTCAAGCTGATCAATTTATTAATTAAAACTAGGGCAGTTTTTTTTTTTTTACTCATCATTATTAATATCAAACACGATCAGTAGGGTAGAGGCCGGTGAAGAAAAGAAAGCAGGACACACCACTGGGACACCAGAAGCAATATATATATCAGGTGAAAAGCATTTTTGTAATTTCATTTGATCGTTTAATCAAGGATAAGTATTTTGCTTTTAAATGTGTCATTTTTTTGTTGACAACGTTGTGCAAACACGAAATGTCCTATATTACTTTTCTTGTCTTCACACTGACGGTCTACGGATGAATTTATGGCGCAAAGGGGAGGATGTCTGGAAAAAAGGTTGTGAACCACTGACATTGTCGAAACTACGAGCTGAACACATTTCACACAGACTAATCTTCTTTCACACAGACTAATCTTCTTTCACACAGACTAATCTTCTTTCACACAGACTAATCTTCCATTTCAAGCCACAGCAGAAAGTGTCTCAACTTACCAGCCGAATATATTTCACACAGCAACAACACTCAAGTAACTAACCTTACATCCAACAACACTCAAGTAACTAACCTTACATCCAACAAAACTCAAGTAACTAACCTTACATCCAACAACACTCAAGTAACTAACCTTACATCCAACAACACTCAAGTAACTAACCTTACATCCAACAAAACTCAAGTAACTAACCTTACATCCAACACACTCACGTAACTAGCCTTATATCCAACAACACTCAAGTATTTAGCCTTACATCCAACAACACTCAAGTAACTAGCCTTACATTCAACAACACTCAAGTAACTAGCATTACATCCAACAACACTCAAGTAACTAGCCTTACATTCAACAACACTCAAGTAACTTACCTTGCATTCAACAACACTCAAGTAACTAGCCTTACATCCAACAACACTCAAGTAACTAGCCTTACATTCAACAACACTCAAGTAACTTACCTTGCATTCAACAACACTCAAGTAACTAGCCTTACATCCAACAACACTCAAGTAACTAACCTTACATCCAACAACACTCAAGTAACTAACTTTACATCCAACACACTCACGTAACTAGCCTTATATCCAACAACACTCAAGTATTTAGCCTTACATCCAACAACACTCAAGTAACTAGCCTTACATTCAACAACACTCAAGTAACTAGCATTACATCCAACAACACTCAAGTAACTAGCCTTACATTCAACAACACTCAAGTAACTTACCTTGCATTCAACAACACTCAAGTAACTAGCCTTACATCCAACAACACTCAAGTAACTAGCCTTACATTCAACAACACTCAAGTAACTTACCTTACATCCAACAACACTCAAGTAACTAGCCTTACATCCAACAACACTCAAGTAACTAGCCTTACATTCAACAACACTCAAGTAACTAGCCTTACATCCAACAACACTCAAGTAACTAACCTTGCATTCAACAAAACTCAAGTAACTAACCTTACATTCAACAACACTCAAGTGACTAGCCTTACATTCAACAACACTCAAGTAACTTACCTTGCATTCAACAACACTCAAGTAACTAGCCTTACATTCAACAACACTCAAGTAACTAACCTTGCATTCAACAACACGCAAGTAACTAGCCTTACATTCAACAACACTCAAGTAACTAGCCTTACATTCAACAACACTCAAGTAACTAACTTTACATCCAACAACACTCAAGTAACTAACCTTACATTCAACAACACTCAAGTAACTAGCCTTACATTCAACAACACTCAAGTAACTAACCTTACATTCAACAACACTCAAGCTACTAACCTTACATTCAACAGTTTCACCTTAGATTGTGTCTCGCTTGTGGCATTTAAAATGTCCAATAGAGGAGTCTCTGATAAGTAAAATTCTTCGAAATGATAAAGGTCAGGGACGGGAGGTGTGTACAAATACTCAGCATCCAGCAACCCACATCTGAGACAGAAGAGATTAACATGAAAATATCATAAATTATTTTCATATTTTTGGCATCAATAGATGTGTACATCAATAGATTTGTACATCTAATGGGTTTACTATCTACTGAGTGGGGAGACTGGGTACACATCGCAGTGGTCAATCAACCTTGTCTAGTTGCCACCCAATTCTCTTGCGACTCTCTCGGATACTACTTTTCAGCTAGGTGCTATTTTTAAATTAAATTCTGTTTTTTTTCCGTTCTTTGTTCGCTGACGAAGGCTTCCTGCCGACAAGTTCGTTGTTTTGTTGCGTTCCTTTTTCATGGTTTCACAAACTTTGTTTTACTCATTTCCTTGTCTAGGCTCCACAGCCTAAATGACCAACTTCATTAACATGTTTTAAAATAAAAATAGTTTTGGCATCTTTCTTAGTCTTGCTTTGATGGGAAAAAACTGTAAACATTGTTTTAATTGTTTTAACATTAAGTAAATATTAATTTTTAACTACATAGTATAAATCATTTCTTTTGAGTGTTTTATTTTCACAAATTTAGTTACAGGTTTGGAGCCAACCATCAACAAGTCACGACTCACTCATACCGAAAAGCCAACACCATCCTCTCCAAGTCGGTCTCCTCTGTAAAGGTTGTGTTCTGTCCAGGCTGGGATCTCCAGAATGCCCTAGGATTATCTGCTACTTCTCTACACGATTCATCATCGCCTACTTTCTGTACAACGATGGAGAAATCAATTAACGTTGTTGGAGAATGGACGACAACGTACAAACATAATACATGCTATAGACCAGACGAAACAAGTGTATGATATATACGATAGACCAGATAAGAAAGTGTATGACATTATATGTAGATTTAAACATGAGCAGGTACGTAATGGCAATATTAGATAATAATAATAATAATAAAAATAATAATAATAATAATAATAATAAAATTAAAATAAATAGCATAACACAAATTCTTCTTCTTGCTAACTACTTTTATTTAATGTTATTGTCATGCAGTTAGTGCAATGCTCTGACAGGACAGTACAAAGAATAAAACAATATACAAAAAAAAAAAATAATGATAATAAACATGCTTTTTTCCCAAAATGTACTAATTACAAAATAAATGTGCCCAAAAATGTCAGAGTTTTTACAATCATATAACTAAAAAAAAGCATCGGGTGTCCTTGAACTCAATGTTCTTTGTTTCATTGGAGATCAGGATGTTGGTCAAATGAATATGTCAGATTTGACCACATAAAAACTAACGCATTGGAAAGGCTAGGTCAGCATGTGTGCTATTAAAGAAAACATTTGGAATCAAAGGAGCTGTCTCTGAATTTTCAACACAAATTTCAAAACAGTCCTACTCTATGGGTCCGAAACTTGGAGAACAGAGAGCATCATGCAGAAAGTACAGACCTTCATAAACACTTGCCTTAGAAAGATACTGAACATTAAATTGCCAAATACCATCACCAACAAAGAATCACTGGAAAGGTCATACCAGGAAACTATTTATGAATATATCATAAGGGAAAGATGGAATCGGATAGGGGACAACCTACGCACACACCCAGATAACATCCCCAGACAATCCCTAACATCGAATCCACATGGAAAAAGAAAGAGAGGAAGGCCTAAGAATTCAGGGAGACGCGAGCTAGAGCCAGCCACACAAAGTATGGGATACGCCTAGAATCAATTGCAAAGGAAAGCACAGGACTGAGATGAATGGAAAATTCTTGTGGATGGCCTATGCCACAGGCGGTGTAAAAGGCTTAAGTATAAGTAAGTAAACTAACAATTGGACAGAGCAACCTAAAACAAATCTTATGACATCATTGGGTTGGGGGGGGGAGGGGGGTTGCGTTTTTTTCTAACATGCAGCATTGTCGGCCAGGTGCATATATATTTCGTTTAAAATTGGCACTAACAACTGCCACTCTACTGTACAGAATGGATATTGGTACTATTCACAGCTATCCTCAAGCAAAACAAATGATTGATATAAGCATTTATCACGGCTAAACAACTGCAAAAAATTTGATATAAGCATTAATCACAGCTAAGCTACTGCACAGAATAGATATAAGCATTAATCACGGCTACTCTACTGCACAAAATGGATATAAGCATTAATCACAGCTAAGCTACTGCACGGAATGGATATAAGCATTAAGCACAGCTAAGCTACTGCACGGAATGGATATAAGCATTAAGCACAGCTAAGCTACTGCACGGAATGGATATAAGCATTAAGCACAGCTAAGCTACTGCACGGAATGGATATAAGCATTAAGCACAGCTAAGCTACTGAACAGAATGAATTTATGGTATCTTAGTTCCTTACATTTTTTAACTCAATAATATTTATATTATGCTTTTTAAGAAATTGTTCTGCTGTCATTTTCACGTGAGATGTGTCCCGAGAAGTGCCCCGAGATGTGCCCCGAAGCTCCAGCTGGTCAAGATACATCCGGGTGACACGCCATGATGGATTGCTGAGAATGGAGACATAGCAGTTGGTTATAGCAATTGTGTGGGTGTGAGTGTGTGTGTGTAGGTCAATGTGTGGGGTGTAGGGTGTGTGAGGGTATGTTTGTTATTAACATCCACTATGACGTATTGCTACCACCGATAAAAGCAGGTCAAACGGAGACCACAGGAAAAGAATGCTATACTATGAGAAGACTAGAATGGTGAACTATAGAGGAAACCAGAGAGATGTACTATAAAGAAGACTAGAATGGTGTACTACAGAGAAGACTAGAATGGTGTACTATAGAGAATACTAGAATGGAGTGCTACAAAGAAGACTAGAATGGTGTACTGAATAGAAGAAGAGAGAGGTGTACAATAGAGAAGACTAGAATGGTGTGCTGAAGAGTAGAAGACAGAGGTTTACAATAGAGAACACTAGAATGGTGAACTTTAGGGAAACTAGAATCGTGTTCAATAGAGAAAAATAATCTGGTGTACTATAGAGAAGACATGAATGGTGTACTGTAGGAAAGACTAGAATGGTGTACCATAGCAATGACAAGAATGGTCTGCTATAGAGAAAATAAGAACGGGTTACCATAGACGAGACTAAAATTGTGTACTATTGAGAGACTATAATGGTGTACTGTTAAAGAATAAAATAGTCAACTACAGAGACAAAACGAAGTATGTCCTATAGAGAAGATAAAAATGGTGTACTATTAGGAAGAATAGAAAAGTGTACTATAGAGGAAACTAAAATGGAGCTCTATATAGAAGACAAGAGTGATGTACTATTTTAAAAACTAGAACGGTGTACTACAAAGACCACGCGAGGATATATTGTAAAAGACAAAATTGGTTGAAACATATAAAGAAAAGTTGGTGTACTATATTGAAGACTACAAATGTGTACTATAAAGACTAGATGATGATCTATAGAGAAGAAAACGGTGGTGTACTAAAGACAAGAAAAGAATGTTTTATTCTATAGAGAAAACATGAAAGGTTTACTATAGCGAAGAATAGAATTGTGTACTTAGAGAAGAACGGAATATAGTGAAGAAAAGTTTGGTTTACATTATAGAAGACTAGAACGGTATACTATAGATTAGACAAGAAAAGTGTACTATAGAGAAGAGAAGTGTTGTGACATATGGTTAGGCCTATTTTTAGGCACCATCACTTATCTTCCCTTTGTTTTCATTTGATAATGACGTAATGGAGTAAATTTTCTGTGGCAATCCTTTCCCACCCCTCCCTTGATTCGGAAAAGGTTGCTTACGCTCGAATCCTGCGTATTTGTTCTATAAAGTATACTATCAGGTGATGGAATTTCTAGGATTTCTTTTCCAGATTGTTCTTGTTTAAGCCATATATAAGGCGACAGCTTACCTACCCAAGGGAGAGAGTCTTTGTTCTATATTTCCTAACATGTACGAGACTTTATATGATTGCAATACTGTACTCTTATTAAATCTGTGTATATTGATATTTATACCTTCCGAGGACTGTACCTTTTCACTTGCTGTGCTGTTGGTTGATATATATTTTTTTCGGTTATCTGAATTTTTATTTTTATAGAAATGTAATAGTATAGTTAATTGTATCGTGTTAGTATCACGGGCTTTGGTGCCGTGTTCTTTGAATATTGTTTTCCTCAGTCCTTTGTTGGCTATGGTTTATTCTACGAGCCAAATCTTAAAACAGATTCAATTTTCAAAACCCTAACGCTAACTAACATTAGAATACAGTACGATAGAGAAGAAAAGAAATGTGTACTTTAGAAGACAAGATGGGGTACTTTAGAAGGCAAGAATTGGGTACTTTAGAAGACAATAATGTGATACTATAGAAGAATAGAATGGGGTACTATAGAAGACAAGAATGGGTACTATACAAGACAAGAATGGGGTTCTATGGAAAACTCTAGAATGGTTTACTATAGTTAAGAGTAGAATAATGTACTATAGAGAAAAACGGAATGGTGTACTATAGAGACGAAAGACAGCTTAGGTTGATGTAGTGTTTGCACGACAGCTGAAGTTGATGTAATGTTTGTATGACAGCTGACGTCGATGTAGTGTTTGCACGACAGTGGAATATGATGTTGTGTTTGCACGACAGCTGAAGTTGATGTAGTGTTTGCACGACAGCTGACGTCGATGTAGTGTTTGCACGACACCTGAAGTTGATGTAGTGTTTGCATGACACCTGAAGTTCATGTAGTGTTTGCACGACAGCTGAAGTTGATGTAGCGATAGTTTTAAGTGGTGCTATTTTTTGTCTTTACCTCACATTGTCAGCATACCACGGTAATCCCTGAAGACTTAACGAAAGTCCCCAGTACTTTTCCTAAATTGATAGATGATGTTGTTTTATACTGACACAATTTTGAGACACATGTGTGTCAGTTCACTAAGTTGTTTAATGTGAGACACACGTGTGTCCGTTAACTTAAATGTTAAACATGAGACAAACGTGTGCCAGTTAACTAAGTTGTTAGTTTAACATGAGACACGTGTGTGTCCGTTCACTACGTTTCTCAACATAAGACACATGTGTGTCCGTTCACTAAGTTTCTCAATATGAGACACATGTGTGTCCGTTCACTAATTTTGTTAACATGAGACACAAGTGTGTCCGTTCACTAAGTTCCTTAACATGAGACGCAAGTGTGTCCGTTCACTAAGTTCCTTAACATGAGACACATGTGTGTCCGTCCACTAAGTTGCTCAACATGAGACACATGTGTGTCCGTTCACTAAGTTGCTTAACATGAGACACATGTGTGTCCGTTCAATAAATTGCTTAACATGAGACACATGTATGTCCGTTCACTAAGTTGCTCAACATGAGACACATGTGTGTCCGTTCACTAAGTTTCTTAACATGGGACACATGTGTGTCCTTTCACTAAGTTAACTAAACTTAAAAGATCGTATCTGTATGTAAAAATAAATTACAGCAATGTTTGCCAGGTTGCCCCTGTCAGTACCTCAGTGGATCCCATGATAAACATGTCATCCCCCCCCCTTTTACTGATTGTGTCTCTGTAGTGACAGAACCCCTAACCACCTACTAATTGTGACTCTGTAGTGACAGAACCCCTAACCACCTACTAATTGTGTCTGTGTAGTGACAGAACCCCTAACCACCTACTAATTGTGACTCTGTAGTGACAGAACCCCTAACCACCTACTAATTGTGTCTGTGTAGTGACAGAACCCCTAACCACCTACTAATTGTGACTCTGTAGTGACAGAACCAATAACCCGCCTACTTGAGAAAGATGCCCACTGTTGCTAGGAGAAAAGATTGTCAACAATCCTTTGACAAAATAAAATCATTTTTATCCAATTCTTCAGTTTTAGCTGCACCAGATTTTAATAAATCATTTAAACTTGAAACTGATACCAGTTATAGTGAAATTTGGTCAGTGTTATTACAGTAGGATAGCTATAGAATTGAACACCCCATTGGTTGTTTCGTCAAAAGAATTATTCTTTGAATTGAAAATAAGTACTAAGTTTCATGTTGTCTTTGCAACTGTTATCTCTTCTACTGTGTTTACCAGCCATAACACTTTGAGACATGTGAATAAAATAGGTCTGAAAAATCCACGGTTACTGAGATGTTGTGTTTACGCTCAAAACTTTAATTCGCCTATCAAATCCAAGAATGACAGAGATAATATTGTTGCACCCTCATTCTCCAATCATTGAGTCATTCGGAGCGTTCGACCTTTCCGTGTGCGTTCTCATTGCTAATAAAACATTTATTTTTTTTTTTGGTGTAAATTTCAAACCCGGCCTACTTTTAGCCACGCGAAATGAACGTGTGTAAATACTGGCTGCATTCCCTTACAGTTATAGAGAGAGTCTTGGAAACAAGATGTGTGAAATGATTCTGTAAAAGTCCTGGTTGTGTTCCCCTGCAGACAAGATGCGTGAATACTTTCCGTGGCATTTGCTAACTACCAGATAGGGCCGTCCAATCGTTAGGAGCAATAGTAATTAAAATCATCTAAATATTAAATTTCGTGTATATTCTAAGAACCTATTCTTGTGTTAGTACTTGTTATATTACTGTGAGAATTAGATATTGTAAGTGTTAGAACTTTATTCATTTATTTTTCTGTAGACTTCATGTATCTTTTTATTTATATTTTATTCCACGTATAATATTACATTGATATAAAGAGCACTGACTGTCTTCATTTTCGCCAGTAGTTGTATCTTCCATCTACCTGTGTTAGCCCCTTTTCAAAATTCTCCTAGACCATGAGCTTGCTCATTATCATTGAACACCTCCGGGTGTGGGGGGGGGGCGCACCATCAGAACGATGTGAAATATCAACAGTTCTGAATTTTTAAGTTTATAATTACCAACTTTTTCTGGGACACTTTCAAAGGTTTCAGTAACATTTTCTTTAAGTACTCCGGGTGGGGGGGGGGGGGGGCGCACCATCAGAACGATGTGAAATATCAACAGTTATAAAAAGAGCATGAATAATTCTGATGGCTAAGAACCACCTACCTTGAAACTCTCCACAAACTCCAGAGACAGCACATCACGACGACAGTGGCAGCCAGCAGAAGGTGTTGTTTCTTTGTACAAGAACGCATGTCATTGACACACGCGCGCACACACACACACACACACGCACACACACTGGTAGTTCCTTAATCAACGAAACACACTGCCAGCTGCCTCAAGAAGGTAGACACATAACCTTACAGAAGTACAAACACAACTAGTCAATGTTACGTGATAGCGTGAGTAGTGTGAATATTGACACAACGAAGTAATTCAAATGTTGTCACCATTGATAAGGACCACACAAAAAATGTGTGCTAGCCAGCGCAAGCAATGATTGCAGGAATAATGTTCAAATGGCAATGGGGTCGTCAAATCCATTAAATTTAAATCAGTTGGGTACTAACAAAGTCAAGTGATAAAAAGTCCACCGAGTATCACAAACTTACAGAATATCCCAAGTCGTCACAATATCACAAACTTACAGAATATCCCAAGTCGTCACAATATCACAAACTTACAGAATATCCCAAGTCGTCACAATATCCCAAGTCGTCACAATATCCCAAGTCGTCACAATATCACAAACTTACAGAATAACCCAAGTCGTCATAATATCACAAACTTACAGAATATCCCAAGTCGTCACAATATCACAAACTTACAGAATATCACAAGTCGTCACAATATCCCAAACTTACAGAATGTCCCAAGTCGTCACAATACCCCAAGTCGTCAAAATATCCCAAGTCGTCACAATATCCCAAGTCAACTTAATGGCGATAAAATTGGATGTCGCAGGAGTAACCGATATGGTTATAAAGATAAAAATCTGTATTCACAGTTGGCTCTTACATGAAACAATGTGCAACAAAAGTCTGATCCACAATGTGCAACAAAAGTCTGATCCACAATGTGCAACAAAAGTCTGATCCACAATGTGCAACAAAAGTCTGATCCACAATGCGCAACAAAAGTCTGATCCACAATGTGCAACAAAAGTCTGATCCACAATGCGCAACAAAAGTCTGATCCACAATGTGCAACAAAAGTCTGATCCACAATGTGCAACAAAAGTCTGATCCACAATGTGCAACAAAAGTCTGATCCACAATGTGCAACAAAAGTCTGATCTACAATGCGCAACAAAAGTCTGATCCACAATGTGCAACAAAAATCTGATCCACAATGCGCAACAAAAGTCTGATCCACAATGTGCAACAAAAGTCTGATCCACAATGTGCAACAAAAGTCTGATCCACAATGCGTAACAAAAGTCTGATCCACAATGCGTAACAAAAGTCTGATCCACAATGTGCAACAAAAGTCTGATCCACAATGTGTAACAAAAGTCTGATCCACAATGCGTAACAAAAGTCTGATCCACAATGCGTAACAAAAGTCTGATCCACAATGTGTAACAAAAGTCTGATCCACAATGCGTAACAAAAGTCTGATCCACAATGCGTAACAAAAGTCTGATCCACAATGTGTAACAAAAGTCTGATCCACAATGTGTAACAAAAGTCTGATCCACAATGTGTAACACAAGTCTGATCCACAATGCGTAACAAAAGTCTGATCCACAATGTGCAACAAAAGTCTGATCCACAATGCGTAACAAAAGTCTGATCCACAATGTGTAACAAAAGTCTGATCCACAATGCGTAACAAAAATCTGATCCACAATGCGTAACAAAAATCTGATCCACAAAACGCAAAAAAGGTCTGATCCACAAAGCGTTCAAGTACAGAAAATCTAGAAACGATCAAACTTTTCCTCAGCCAGAATAGGGACGGGAAGGTAAAGTGACTCCACTCTCACTCTGTTACGTCAAATTCCAGGTCGAGACAAGTCTAAGAGATAGTGCCCAAAAATTACCATGTCCTGAAATTTAAAAACAATCCCTGCTCTGCAATAGTGGATATATATAAAATTAGGACTTGGGTATACGTTTTACCTCTGCGATTCTGCGTGGTGCACGCTTAGCTAAAACAACCTCAAATGTCACTAAGCCAAGCCTTTCTCCCACAGCGCAAGGGACAAACACTGTACTAATTAAACAAAAAAAACTTTATTTAAAGGAGGAATATTTCCCTTGTCTGGCGCTGTCAAACCAGGTACACTCGGTGCACCTACCCACACGCGTGCTATAATAGGACTTTGCTTGGCTATTCACCCTAACGTCAGTGTATCATGGGCGGCGCCTAAATTAACATCGCCCCCCAAAATATGGAATCGCAGAAATCGCCGTAAGTTTGACACAGACATTATGCTCCAACTGCATTGACATTTGATTAAATTTTTTGTTACCTTTCACCCAGCGAGCAAACGTGTGTTGGAAGCAACAATTTCAGAAAGGTGGGGGGGGCAATTCCAACTTTCGGGTGGGTATTCCCATTGGCCAGAGCCGTAACTAAGGGGTTCAGCAGGGTGGGGGTACACATCTTCCTGAGCGCCAGGCGGGGCGCCAAAATGGGCATTGGTCCGAGTTACTAGATTAATATGATGGCTTTCAAAGTTAAGGGACGTTAACATGCATCTGGCGCTAAGCACTCTAGCTGCGCCTCTGGCAGTGGCATAGAAAGAACTTTGTGGGGTGGTCCACCAGCGTGTCACATTTTCCTTATGTAAAGAAGCGGCATATTGGAACAACTGCATAGTTTGTATCGTGAAAGGGAGAAGGGTAACTATTTGTCCTTCCATGACCATGGCGGCACAAATACTAGCTACGCGACTGTGCGGTGTATCTATCGGCACAGATGCTAGCTCCGCCACTGGGCGGCACCGATAATTCTTTTACCGGAAAGTAGGCCAGAAATTGAGGGACACGATAACTCTTAGCACCGCCCCCCCTCCCCCACAACCACTTTGGAGTATACCTGAATTCTGTGTTTGTATTATACTTTTTGTTCGGGGCAAGGAATTTTGTAACCGGCCCGGGGGGGGGGGGGGGGGGGGGGGCATTATGGCGCCAACTGTCATACATAAACTGAATCCATCCCGGTTGTGGCTTGCCCCAGAGTAATCATTTGGCTCAAACTTGGCTCATCGGCTGCAGGTGGCCTCGGGAGGTTGTCCAGTAGTGATGTGGACACTTTTTTTTTTAAATAATCAACTTTGAAAGCAATGTGGGGGAGGGTTAAACCGGAAAGCGTCCGAGGGACTCAAAGAGTCAATTGGCGGCCCTTGTGACCTCCTTGTGTCATACAAATATTTAGATAGATATTATTTTATGGAAATGTGGCTTTCATTTATTTTTTTTTTAAAATTAAAAGTACTTTTGCGGTTAACTACTCAATTATTAACTGGATTTTAAAATTCTAAAACTGCAACATTTCTTCCAAATATATATATATATATATATATATATATATATATATATATATATATATATATATATTAAAATTAACATCACAAAAAGCAGTACTAGACTCTAACATTATTTTACATGATGAACGCAATTTTTTTTTAAACTTATAATAATTAACTTTTNGGTGTGTGGTTGGGGGGGGGGGGGGCAGGGAGGAGGATGTTTTGTAGAGAGGTCTATTTATTTTAATGAGTTTTCAAAGCTGGTAATTTTCATGAATATTTTTCGAACAGCATACTTATGTTAAGAAGAAATTCGATGTTTACAAAAGCTGTATATTAATGTGTATGAAAGGTATCAATTGCACAAAGGCGTCATGCTTTTTAAAAAATTGAGTTGTTAGCCTAATAGCTCATGTACTTGATTCTATGTCGTACGTTGTCCTAAAAAACCTAACAAAATTGATTACTTTTTAAACAAAAATAAGAATTTAACGGGGTCATACTTATTGTCCACGTTTCATAAATTATTATTAAATCAAAAGCGTTTGTGTTGTATTTAAATATGGTACTTTAGTTACGGGAAAAAATTTCCTGATTAACAGTGTTGATTTTTTTTTTTTAAATCTTAAGCCCATATTTATTAAATACCCAATTGCTTTTCTTTTCTTTTTTCTTTTCTTTCATGTCAGAATAATAAGCAATCTGCCGCTCCTATTGGCATGTATTCTTGCGACATGCCCTGCCCTTCTGGCTTGTCCTTTTGTGTAGGAGCGTGGTGGATGCTGATACCATCGGCCCGTTGCACGACTCTCTACCATCAGGGACTCCGTCCTGCCATCTTGAGCGTGGTGGATGCTGATACCATCGGCCCGTTGCACGACTCTCTACCATCAGGGACTCCGTCCTGCCATCAGGGACTCCGTCCTGCCATCAGGGACTCCGTCCTGCCATCAGGGACTCCGTCCTGCCATCAGGGCCTCCGTCCTGCCATCAGGGAGTCCGTCCTGCCATCAGGGAGTCCGTCCTACCATCAGGGACTCCGTCCTGCCATCTTATGCAAAGAAGTTTACGTAGGCAGCGTAGGTGTGTGTGTGGGGGGTGTGTGTGGGGGTGTGTGTGTGGGGTTGATTTCGTTGTCTAGCATCTCTTTTGTACACTGTCCACGTATAGGAGAGATGTTAAGACGATTGCCCTACACACCTTCAGCTTTGCGACAAGACTGAAACCCCTTCGCTCCCACACACTCCTGTGCGCAGCCTCCAGAAAGCAATGATTGCTTTGAAAATCCGGCTATTAATCTCATCATCGATTGTTGCTGATCTGGAGAGGTTGATTGATCTCATCATCGATTGTTGCTGATCTGGAGAGGTTGATTGATCTCATCATCGATTGTTGCTGATCTGGAGAGGTTGATTGATCTCATCATCGATTGTTGCTGATCTGGAGAGGTTGATTGATCTCATCATCGATTGTTGCTGATCTGGAGAGGTTGATTGATCTCATCATCGATTGTTGCTGATCTGGAGAGGTTGATTGATCTCATCATCGATTGTTGCTGATCTGGAGAGGTTGATTGATCTCATCATCGATTGTTGCTGATCTGGAGAGGTTGATTGATCTCATCATCGATTGTTGCTGATCTGGAGAGGTTGATTGATCTCATCATCGATTGTTGCTGATCTGGAGAGGTTGATTGATCTCATCATCGATTGTTGCTGATCTGGAGAGGTTGATTGATCTCATCATCGATTGTTGCTGATCTGGAGAGGTTGATTGATCTCATCATCGATTGTTGCTGATCTGGAGAGGTTGATTGATCTCATCATCGATTGTTGCTGATCTGGAGAGGTTGATTGATCTCATCATCGATTGTTGCTGATCTGGAGAGGTTGATTGATCTCATCATCGATTGTTGC